GACATATAGGTTCCGGACGGCGTAAGTAATGAACCTGGCAAACATCTCGGTTACATTTTGTTACGAGTAGCCTTGATCTGGGCTGTCGTTAGAACGTAGACTAGTAGTAGAGTAGGATTGCACTTTGAACCCGGCACTAGCAAGAGGACTCGGCAGGGATGCTGCGACGGGGGGGTTTCCGTTAGTAAGAGTTTGAGCAGATCTGTTAAATAGGGGAAGGCACGACTTCAGCCTCCTCTTTGGGCACACGAACTTGCGTTCACCCTCCTGATGAGATCTGTTCGGTGGGCAGATGAAACCGGTCGAGGGAAATCACCGGTGCTCGTTTTTGTGGCTGGCTATGGATATCCTTGGATCTGAGCATGAGCTGTTTAACTTCGATCTGTTGTTTGCTTCTCTTCCAGGGTGTGTCTTCTGCGGCTGCTCGGACTGTGTTGCCGCAGTCTGCCCTGCTCTCAGGCACATAGTAACCGGTAGTTTTGTGGCTGGTCGGTGGCTATGTCCTCGGCGTGAAACCTCAACTAGGTTACTAGTTGATCGTGGGCTTGAAGTTTCCGTTCTCAGGATCGATGTTGAGGTGATTACGTACTGTTTCTTTTCGAGGATGAGCTGTGGAATGTTAGTTTCTTCGCTTTAGCCTCATGAGATACGGAGGCGCAACTAGTTGATCGTGGGCCCGAAGTTCCGTTCTCGGGATCAATGTTCAGGTGATTCTTTTCGACGATGAGCTGTAGAATGTTAGTCTCTTCGCTGTAGCCTCATGAGATACGGAGATGCAACTGGTTTAGTTTAGGGGTTCGGGCGCTTAAGATCGGATGTTTACGGGAGTATCCTACAGTCCGCGGTTGTACGGATAGAAGGGGTTGGTCGTTTTCTTCCCGGTGTCGACAGCGGATAGCCTACCACGAGGGAGGATGGTTGAACTCTTATGCCCTCTCAGGCTCGGGGTCGTGTGCAGTACGCAGGATTCTGGCATTCACGACGGAGGTACGGACGACGGTGGGGGAGAGAACGGAGCTGTTGTAACAGCCATTTCGTCAAAACGGACATATTATATTTTTTGAACGAAATCAAAACTGACTTTTTTTGCCAAAATCCGGCCGGAATTTTTTGCTCCTGGGGGTCC